ATATGTCTTTATGTCTTTATGTGTCTCTATGTGTCTGTATATGTCTTTATGTGTCCGTTTAAGTCTCAATGTGTATTTATATTACGGGTCGCCAGACGCACGCCTACTGTGAGAACCCAGACGTGGTCCTATGTGGCAACAAGTCGGACCTCGAGGACCACCGCCGTGTCTCAGAGGACAGAGCCCGGGACATGGCCGAAAAGTTTGGGTACGTCCTTGACCTTGTGTCGTCGTCTGCCTGCTGGCGTGGCCAGCTGGGGCGGTGGTTCACCTGTTGGGCAGCGGGAGGGGGGGTGAGGGACGGGTAAAAGCAAATTTGAGACCTTTGGGTGGTTGGAGGGTGCTCTTGTGTGTTTTTTATCTTCTTTTTTTACTTTTTAAAAAATATTGTCCTTGTCTCCCTTCCTTCTCTTCTGTGTTTGTTACTCTCTTGTAAAACCTCTAGTCTTCGGCACTTAAATGACCTAATTGGCGGGTGGGTGGCGGGTGCTGTGGTGTAGTTTGCTCCTTCGTTCCTATCAGACATCTATCGTCTTGATCTCTCCTCGTTCTTTTTTGTGTTTGTTACTTTTTTATAAGACCTCTAATCTTCGGCACATATTTGGCCTAATTGTTTTGCAAACATCTATTGACCTTATCTTATCTCTTCTCTTTCTTCTCTTAGCATGTTACTGTCAAGTAACACCTCTAACTTTGTGGGTGGCTGGCAGGTGCTCTTGTGTGTGTTGCTCTATCTTTTTCATCAAACACCTATTGATGGGTGGTTGGCGGGTGCTCTGGTGTGGTTTGCACCTTCTTTCCTATGAAACGTCTATCGTCCTTATCTCCACTTCTTCTTTTTTATGTTTGTTACTTTCTTGTAACACCTCTAATCTTCTGGCGCTCATATGACCTTATGCAGTTGCGAGCGCCGTAAAACCTCTATAAAAACTAGACTAAAAAAACTGGTACTATAGCTTATCCAAACCCCAAAAAAAAAACATTGTTTTTTTTTGCACATAACTTTTGCCTGCCTTCTGTTTATTTTCAATATAAGATGGACATACAGAAAAAAGATCACGTGTGCCAGAGAGAAATGTCTTTTCACGTCAACCTATAACTATAATGTTGAAAAAGAATATTGCTCAAAAAGACTAAATAGGATAGTCTTAATATATCGCGACCTCAGTGCTTTCTATCTCTCTTTTTTTTTTTTTAACAGTGAAAAAGTGACTTCTTCTTGAATTAAGGTCATTCTTTGTTATGAACTGTTTTCACTGATATTAGTAATAGAGATACGACTAGAAAGCACTGAGGTTGCGATATATTAAAAATCTCAATCAAGGCACAAAGTTAATGGAAATCAAAAGATATTACTACAAAGTTAATGGAATCAAAAGATATTACTACAAAGTTAATGGAATCAAAAGGTATTACTACTAAGTAAATGGAATCAAAAGTTTTTCCTCCAAAGTAAATGAAATCAAAAGTTATTCTTGCAAAGGAAATGAAATCAAAAGTTATTCTTGCAAAGGAAATGAAATCAAAAGGTATTCCTACAAAGGAAATGAAATCAAAAGGTATTCCTACAAAGTAAATGAAATCAAAAGTAGTATATTACTACTACAAAGGAAATGAAATAAAAATTTATTACTACAAAGTAAATGAAATCAAACGTTATTACTAAAACTGAACCTAAAAATAAGTATATCGGGTATTTACTAAGATTTTTTTAAAAATCTCCCCAGACTGCCTTACTTTGAGACGAGCGCAGCCACGGGTCAGAACGTGTCCAAGGCCGTAGACTGTCTCCTGGATATGGTGATGAGTCGCATGGAGCAGTGCGTGGACCAATCACAGCTGCCCGACGTGGACAACGGTCAGCCCAGGAACAGAGCCTCGCTGACACAGCGGCCAGGGGGGTCCCAATCTGCTGGTGGGGAGGGCTGTTCTTGTTGAGGGGGCGGTCGGTCATTGTGGGTGTGTGTGTGTGGGACTCTGTGTGTGTGTGTGTGTGTGTGTGTGT